TCACGAAACTGAGCATTATCAATTGACAACATTATGTATTGTACCAGCGCTACCCTCAAGTTAGCTCTGGAACATGATGACTTCTTCAAATCATTCAATCCTGCAGATTCTGAAAAGTGCATGCGTTGTCTGGCGATTTTCCTTGCTTTCAGAGGAATCACTGATTTTCTAAAGGTATCTCATATAAATGAACTATTAAACTGCCGCTCATTCCAGTACGTTGTACCTGTAACGATCAATCTATAATTAATTCAGAACTATCAGGAGTACCATCTCCAAACCAGCGCTACCCTCAAGATTGCACCTCGATGGAGGGCTTGAACTTCTCCATATTGCCTACCTAACCCAGGTCCATAAGAACCAGACATTTCTGATTAGTCCTTTGTCACCTGGAAGACGACGAGGGCTTCTCCTGATCCGGATGCATAACGATCAGATGATTTTTATTACCTCTAAATACTTGGAAGGGGGAAGGCATGGGCTTCTCTGTATTGTGTATATAACCAGGGTGCAAAAGACGTAAACTTTTCTAATTGGCTCCACACTCTTTCGATATTATAGAATCGCCCGAATCTGCCATATGGAGAAGTCACGCCGCTGGATTCAATTCGCCAGTTGCTAAGTGATATCCGTTTTGAAAATTCAACTACATCTAGCATTATTAGTCAACAGCGCATTTGTTACTGAATCACTTCTCGTCATTATATCGAATGTTTTAATTATACTTCAATCAACTCCAGTCACTTCAGTTGCATTGCCGTTGTCTTCTGTTTTTGACTTTTATGAGCCACTCATGTTGTTATTTCCATAGATATACGTCTTCTCGAATGAATCGTCGAACGCATAAATGAAAAAATCCAATTGTTCATCAACAAATAATTAAAGACTCATCCGACTACCATGATAGTGAGACATCTTACAGTTTTGGAATTGACTCAGCAACGAATTGGTAGAGCGTCAACATTGTCGTTTGGCGTAACTTCCATTATTTGCTCTATTCAATCAACTTCGTACTCAACGTCGGATTAGTAGGGTTTGTTTTCAGGTACAGGTAAATTTCTTAGGATATCTATAATCATCAGTCAGCTGCGTTCGTTCACAAGTTGAACGCTGAGCCTACATCCGAAGCTAATTATCATATTTTCGTTTTCGTATTATTTCCACTTGAAATTTTTTCTGACAAATCAGTTTCGTAAATTTCGAGCGAAGGATTGTTTCATTTTAAATGTTCCTACGTTATCTGCGTGTTTGATTGAGGACTTCGATCTTTGATGTGTAAGAGTACTTTGGCGCTACTATGATACCAGGAAGTGACGAGTGTTTTGCAGATAATGTGCGTAGATCAGTAAATTTCTGTATTGAAAGCATCGATATGGATGAAGGTCACGAGACGCTACAGTCTCATCGAGTATGGGTACATTTAGCCGCCGGCTCATTGGCCGGTCTTACGGAGCATTGTGCTATGTTTCCGTTCGATTCCATCAAAACACGTCTACAGAGTCTCTGTCCTTGTCCGGAAACGAAATGTCCAAGTGCTATGCATGGCCTCGTATCGATTGTTAAGCATGAAGGTTGGCTACGACCCTTACGAGGTATCAACGCCATGGCTCTTGGCTCAGCGCCTGCCCATGCTGCCTATTATACAGTTTACGAAAAGTTAGTGGTTTTTTGCGTTCGAGTATCATTCTTTTTTTTAATGAATAGGTCGTTCACTGATTGTGTATCGACGTAATCGATCGAATAGGCAACGAAAAAGTTTATGGAATTGGTCAAATTTCAGGTCAAAACTATTCCTAACGGATCGAACCAGTGGTGGCTTCAATGGATTTTCNATTATGAATCCAGCTGAGGTTCAATTTGTTTTAAGCTTTTTGTTCTGTTTCATTTTGGAGATATTTTGTAGTATGATAGAAAACAATGGTTAATTGATGTACTGTTAAACGCTGATGATAATCCAATGAACATGATTTAGATTGATATTTAGAATTAGATGAAAAATGCTCTTGAAGAGAATGTAGATAATTATGTGAGTTGTCATTTAAGGTCGTCAAACAACGAATGCAAATGATCTACAGCCCGTATGGTAATAGTTTGCAATGTGCAAAATGTATATTCAAACGAGAAGGTATCGCGGCATTCTATCGGTCCTACAACACACAATTAATCATGAACATTCCTTATCAGTGCCTTCATTTCATCACCTATGAATTTATGGAAGATTTATTCAATCGAGAACGTAAATACAGTCCTGGCTCACATCTTGTGGCTGGAGGTAATCTTATGCATGTTATCATATGAATATATCCCTTCGAATGTTCGAATCATTTGTTCAGTTCTCACAAAGAATTTTTCATATCTATTACTGTGATTATGACTCAATTGACATATTTTATTTATTATTACTGTATGTGATATGAAACAAACATCTTGGTAATTATTTGGTAATATTGTTATTATTTGATGTGGAAGGAAAAGGTCCTTCAACGATAACTAGTTTTTGCTGATTGTTTATTTACGATGTGATGTTATGAATTAACGAAATTTAGGTGTCGCCGGAGGTTTGGCGGCTGCACTAACCACTCCTTTGGACTGTGTGAAAACCGTTTTGAACACGCAGCAAACACCTGAGGTGAACGGAGGATATCGTGTATTGCTTAAAAGCACTTCACCTGATATCACTACCACTTCATATAGGTTAGCATTTTCAACGATTCCTTTCTAGTTCTGATCTTTGCATCAAAAGTTATTTCACCTATTGTTTCGTGTATCGAGAGTCTGATTCCATAATTCAACTGAAATCGTTCCATCGAATAAAAACTGTTGTTGCTATTGTTGACATGGGATTCACGCCAACTCATTAGTGGTTGAATAAGAAATAAACAATTTGAGTATTTATATCTGACGAATTTACGAGTTGATGACAGAAATTTTCAGTTGTTAGCAGTGAGTTTGGTGAAATTTGTTTGTGAAGGTGATTCGAACTATTGATTGAATTGATTATTAACAGTTACCTTGTTGACTGAGTGGGCATTCGTGGATTTACATAAATTAAGCCGTATGCAATCTTCTTGTTGTTTACGTCCCATGCAGTCATCGAGAAAATTTCAGTGGCATTGTGGATGCGCTACGAAATATTTATTATTTGAGAGGACCGTTGGGTTTCTTCAGAGGCATTCAAGCCCGAGTAATCTTTCAAGTACCATCCACGGCATTGAGTTGGTCTGTTTATGAGTTATTCAAATATGTCCTCTCGTTAGAGAATAATAATGTGAGCGTTGTTTGATTGTTGTTATCTCATTTATTACATCTTAGCAAATTGTATTTGTTCATCATCATGTATGTATACGTATTTGTATATGTGGATATGGACACAACGGTGTTTTTTCTAATGTTTACGATACTCTCTGAAAGAAATATTCTTTTTTTAAACTTTTCAAAATCCTTATAATATATGCGCATAAAATTCATATTATAGATCTGATTCGAGCTGTATGTAATTGTTTGAAAATTCCTTTTTTTGGGATGCAATCTTAAAATTGATTATAATTTTTTTTTAAAATTAGGTTTAGAGTTCATATTGTTTTCGGAATTTTTCTTTTCAAAATAATGTTAGATAATGCTCATGGTTTTTTCGTTTGCATTTCTTGTTTGTTGAAATTTCAATTCGATGTGTTCTGATCTGTACTCAACCAAATTGCTGTTTATATTAATGAATAACAGTGCGATTCTTGTTTGATGAGCTTTATTCGCCATTAACTATTGATCATTGAATACATTCACGCATTCATATAGTTATCTCAAGCCATCCTTTATTATTTGTCTTGTCTTCCACATGTTTCCTTCTTGGGTGATGAGTGTAGATTATAGCATCGTATGCATACATGGTTTATAAGACCATAAAAAATTTCTCATTGATACTGGATGTTATTTGCATTCTATGATGTAAATGATAAGTTGTCGCTGTAGAGGAATGATAAATCGGTGGTTCCGAAGAGGGTACAATTCATCTGAACTTAAAATTTAAAGTTCTTTGTGATCTATCTGCTTCAAAATGAAGTAGAACTAGGATGGAAAACGTAAGAAATAGAACTGAATTTTTAATTTCGATGGGAAGATATTCATTTTCAGTGAGAATCGTAATGTGCATTCGACGTTTGGTCGCTTTAACTTCATTGATTTTGATCTAAAACAAACTCAGTCGTGCATGGAGAATAGACGTAATATTTACTCTAATTGATGAAATTTTTGGTATCCGAAGTTGTTTTATACAACTTCTACGTTGGGAACCACTGCGTACGAGTATTTTAAATGTCGTATTGCCAAATAATTCCTAATTGAAACGTCGAATTCAATTTGACGCATACTGATCGTTAGGATGCGAGAGATCATATTCTATTTCATACATATACATATTGTATATACTCAATTTCTACGAAGTTTTCATATCATGGTTTATGTATCTTCTCGAATAGAGTTGGGTGAATAGTAGGTTTATT